GGTCCGTCTCCTGTTGGCGTTGACTTCGGGTACGGATACCCTCCGTGTCGTCTTTAGGTAAAATCGGCATATTTGATCCCACTTCTGACACCAATTGTTACGAGCTTGGGGTTCGAGACAATTAAAAATTGCCGATTGAATACCAAAATTGACACTTTAATTAAACAACACTAATTACAATCTAAAATCACACTAATAATAAAACACAGTTCGCCGTTATTTCGCTTCGAAGTATTCTCTTGTATCGCCAATTCAATACTGCCTCGGTCGTGGTCTATACCGGCCTTATATAGGGCCTCAGATAGTTTCCAGAATCTTCTACTGTAGCGACATCTAGAATGTTCGAACACATATCGGTCCCGAAATTTCTGGAAGGATCTTGACTCTCCTAGTTCTGCTACTCGACACTAGAGGGCGCTAGTGTACCTAGTGTTGCCACGTACAAGACATTAATAGTGGCACGCAATACTTTCATTTACTCGACACTAGGGGGCGCTAGTGTAACTAGTGTTGCCATGTACAAGACATTAATAGTGGCGCGCAACAATATACTGAGAGGCCAAAGTTAATATATTTATTTCTGTAAATTTATCTCTAAGAGACTCTATCGGGTTTAGGTTGTAAATAGCTCTAATGGCCCTCTTCTGTAAAACAAAAATAGTTTCTGAATCAGCCCCATTTCCCTATGGCAAAATCCAATAAGACATTATGCTATGGAAATAACTGAAATAAACTAATCTTGCTGTCTCGACACTAGTGAGACCTCTTATTTTTTGATTGTTTGTTGATTGATAACAACACCTGCGAATAAGGTGGTTGCTTACAAGTTGTTTCTTAAATAAGTTTTGAAAGTAGTTTGGACGTCCACATTCAGATTAAGAATTAAAATTCAGATGCTTTATCACTCTTGAATACTAAAATGGAATACCTAGTTTCCAGTAAAAAGTGTCTTCTGTTCTCTACACTCACTTTACGGAACAGAGCAGCATTTAAGAAGAAGGAAAAAAAAAATACTATGTTTTGTTGTGTTAGTATTACTTATAAATAGCTCAAAGATCCGTGGTAGCTCAGATGTTTAGCGCTCGCGGTAAATTTAACGCGAACAACCCGGGTTCGATTGCCGCCGGCACCAATGAAATTGTTAACTGCAATTTTAAGTGCTGATCACGTGCTCGGCGGTGAAGGAAATCATCGTGAGGAAACCTGCATGTCTGAGAAATAAGGAAAAAAAAAGTAATTCGAAGACATGTGAAGTTCGCCAACACGCATTGGGGCAGCGCGGCGGACACTTCCTTGCCTTGAAACCCTCTCAGAAACGAGAAGAGCCCTATAGATAGGCTGTAACTTTAACTTTTATTTTTAGATAGAGGGTATAGTTTTGTCACAAAATATTGAGAAATAGAAAAACATTCCATTTATAAGTGCCGGATGGGCGCTGCTGCGGTTTCCAATTTCTTGGAGAGCGAACACGGAGTCAGGAAAAATACAAACGTATGTCAGTCTCATTTTCATGCATGCCCTTTCGATCGCTAAGCATTCAGCTAAGAAAACGGTACAACTACTATGAAATTCAAGGCGTTTTACGGTTTCCTTTCTATGAAAAAAATTTATCACGTATGCAGCACTTACTGCTTCATTATGTTTGCTACCGTCCGTATATTTTAATAGTATTTGTCGTACAATAGTTTCTGTGTGTTCAGTGTTCTAGGTCTTCTAAGTTTATTATTTTATGTATGTAATGTAGGTATATAGATTTAGGTAGCCGGCACGAGATTGTTCGTGCGGCGGCAGTCGGGAATTAAACGTCTTAGCGAACGCACCGTGTATTATTTAAAACATTACAGTGGCTAACGAGTTTGGGATAGCGTTGAATTTGTGCATACGTTGTTGCGGTAGTAAATATTAGAATGTCGGTAGGGAAAATCGGTGAATTTGATTTAAGAAATGAAGCATGGTCGTCGTATGTGGAAAGACTGGAAATGTATTTCTTAGTAAATCAAATAAAAGCTGAATTAAAATTACCCACACTAATCGCGGTAATCGGCGATGAAGCATACGAATTGTTGGCACACCTAGCAAGTCCAAAGAAACCATCCGAACTATCGTACGGTGACGTAGTGGAACTCTTACGTCAGCATTTACAACCGACACCATCCGTGCACGCTGAGAGGTACCGATTCAGACAAAGCAGGCAGGCTAGCAATGAAAATATAGCGAGCTACGTCGCGGACTTAAAGAAGCTGGCACGTCATTGTAAGTTTAAGGAGGCTCTTAATGAGAACTTACGAGATCAATTTGTTTGCGGGCTGCGAAGCGACGTCATTAGGCAACGGTTGTTCGCGGAGGATGAGTCGCTACCACACACCAGCGTAGTCAAAATTGCAACCTCTCTCGAAGCAGCGGAGCGGGACGCGGCGGCAGTGGAAGGTGCTACTACAACGGGGAAGGATACCAGGATTCAGGAATTGACGACGGTGCATGCGCTCATACGTGGCGGGGCGTGACAACGCGGGGAGCGGGTGCGGCGTGGGGGCGGTGCGGGAGAGCAGATCGTCGGAGCAGCGGCGAGAAGTGGCGCGGGCGTGGCGCGCGGGACGGTGCGCATGCGCAATAGCGGCTGCACCAATTCTGCCGGTGACCCTGGGGCTGGGGGTCATCAGTTCAATTGCGGAGACTGCGGAGCGACGGATCATGAGTATTCGAACTGTCGTTTCCGGGTCTATATATGCAGCATGTGCAGACGCCCGGGCCACCTGCGACGCGTGTGCCCAGACGCGGCCAGTAAGACACGGAGAAAACAAACGGCGGTCCCATTACACTATGGCGGGGTAGACGGAGCAGTCGAAAACGAAGAAGTACCGGAGGCAGACTTCCACCATCTATGCCTAAACGACTACCAACCGGTGAGTTTACCCGTAATAATTGACAATAAAACAATTAAAATGGAAGTGAACACGGGTGCGGCTGTGTCATGTATTAATAGGCAAACCTATGAAAAGTATTTTAACCATCATCCAATTAAAAATAGTAAAATAGTGTTAAACTGTTATGATGGCTCCAGAGTAAACCCTTTAGGTATAATTAAGCCGGTCGTCCGCCATGCGAGTCAAACCAAACGATTAGAATTATTTGTTATCGAAGGGGGCACTACATAATTACTCGGCAGACAATGGTTAACGGAATTAGGCATAAAAATTCCCGCATTTAATAATAATTGTCACCATTTATCGAATGAGAAAGAGTCTATGTCAAATGAAATAACAAAAATATTTTCTAGGTATAAGCATTGATATATTAAAAGGGGAAAGATATGTTACGTGCTTATATCGCAATCACTAAACCTGGACTCGGCGCAGGACTCCATGCACCGAAACTTACACGTTTGTTATCATAATTGCAAAAGCCGATAGACAAGGACAGAGATAGGAACCTTCGTAGTTGTGCGAGCGAAATCGCGTTAGCCGCCGAATGTTTACGGTTTTAGACATTGTAGTAGCTTTAGCTAATACATATCGAAAGAGAAACATTAAGCAGTTTAATTATTAATCAGGTACATCTACATTCTTCAATTATTAGAACACTGTTTACCTGCACAAGAAGTCATTTTAATGCGTATTTAATACCAAAAAAACTGAAATTAACGAGTTGTATGATCAACGACGTACCGCGCCCGACTGAGTGTCACTGCGAGCCAAGTACGGGCAATCCCGTAGTTTTGTAGGACCGGGCGCTGTGATTTAGTGACGTATCTTCCCCTTTTAATATATCAATGGGTATAAGGAACTATTTAGCGACGGGCTCGGGCGGTTCACGGGTGGCAAAGCGACGTTGGGTGTGCGGGACGGGGCGGCGCCGGTGTTCCACCGCGCACGGCCGGTGCCCTACGCACTGCGCGAGCGAGTCGACGCGCAACTCGACGCAATGCTGCGGGACGGCATCATTGAGTTCGTCGACTGCTCCGACTGGGCCTCACCGATTGTTCCGGTAAATAAAGCGGATGGCTCCTTGAGAATCTGTGCTGACTATAAAGCAACCCTTAATCCGGTATTGCAGATTGATCGATATCCCTTACCACGAATTGATGACCTGATGGTAAAATTGAGCGGGGCATGCTATTATTCCAAAATAGATTTATCACAAGCATACAACCAGATCGAGTTAGATGATACAAAAAAATATACAGTCATAAATACACACAGGGGCTTGTATAGGTATAACAGATTGGTCTATGGCTTGTCGTCGAGCCCGGGAATATTTCAACGTATAATGTGTAATGTACTACAGGGGATACCTAACGTAGAAATATTTTTAGATGACGTCATCATCGGAGGAAAAACTAAAGACGAACATTTAAAGGCTCTGGAGACAGTCATAAGTAAACGGGTTTCAAATTAAAAAGTAGTAAATGTGTATTTCTAGTGGATGAGGTGAAATATTTGGGATATATTATAAGTAGCAAAGGCATTAAAACCGATCCCTCAAAGGTAGAAGCCATATTAGGGATACCCAGGCCGACTATCGTGACGGAGTTGCGGTCGTTTCTAGGTATATTGAATTTCTATGGCAAATTCATAAAGAATATGAGTGATAAGTTATTTCCGTTGTACGATTTGCTTAAAAAAGATAAACAATGGTACTGGTCATCGGATTGCGAAACATCGTTTACTCAAATTATAAAAATACTGTCCAGTGCCGAGGTACAGGTAGCGCATTATGACCCTAAGAAACGTTTAATTGTTACTTGTGACGCAAACGCGCGGGGAGTCGGGGGCGTCCTTTCCTAGGTAGATTATGAGGGCCGGAGCAAGCGGCCCATAGCTTTTGCATAGCGTTCGTTAAATAACGCGGAAAAGAATTACTCCCAAATACATCGTGAAGCGCTGGCTATTATTTTTTGCATGAATAAATTTCACCAATATTTATACGGGAGGAGTTTTACATTACGCACCGACCACAAACCTTTAGTTTCCATTTTTGGCCCGAATACGGGAATACCGACCATGGTAGCTAGTCGTATGCAGAGATGGGCAATTATTTTATCTACTTATTCGTTCGACATCGAGTATGTCCGTACAGATGAAAATGGGGCGGGCGGTTTATCGCGGTTACCGCTTAAAACTGAACGAAACGTGACAACCCCACCCGAACAAACGTACCTGCATTTTGTGCAACAAGCTCTGTCATTAGACTATAACGATATTAAACGGGAGACGTTGCGGGATCCATTATTATCAAAAGTACTAAGTTATATTCGTGACGGCTGGCCATCACACTGCGAAATTACTAATCTTCAACCTTATTGGAATAGACACAAAGAATTATACGAGGATCTGGGCTGTATAATGTGGGGTCATAGATTAGTAGTACCGGAAAATTGCAGGGACAAAATCTTGGCTATGATTCATGAACCTCATATGGGAATAGTGAAATCCAAAGCGCTGGCTCGAAGCTATGTATGGTGGGCCGGCATGGAGGAGGCGGTGGAGCGAGCGTGCCGTGAGTGTATAACCTGCGCGGCGCAGGCGGATGCGCCGGCGCGGAACTCGCCGCGAATGTGGCCCTGGCCCGCACGGCCTTGGAGTCGGCTTCATTTGGATTTCATGGGTCCCATCGCGGGAAAAATATATTTGGTAGTAGTTGACGCCATGTCGAAATGGATTGAGGTTCATAAAATGACGAGTATCTCTGCCAACTGTTTAATTGACCGCTTAAATGAATTATTTAGTAGATTCGGCTTACCTCGACAAATAGTAACGGACAATGGAGCACAGTTCACGTCGTCACAGGAGTTCGAATATTTTAACAAGCACAACGGCATAGGGCATGTTTTTACGGCACTCTATCACCCTTCCTCGAATGGTCTGGCGGAAAACGCGATAAGAACATTAAAACGGGTAATAAAAAAGGCGTTGCAAGATAATCAAAATATAGATAGGGTGTTATGGGCATTTTTAATGTATTATAGTAATGTCGAACACGCAACAACGAGCGAGTCCCCAGCAATGCTTATGTTTGGTAGGCGAATCCGTACACTATTGGATGTCATCAAACCTGATAGGGAAGGCCAAGTGCATCAAGCTCAGCGACGCCAGCAGGACGCGGCCGCAGGAGTGAGTAGGAGTTTCGGCAAAGAGGAAGAAGTATGGTATAGGCAATACTTAAAGGGGGAAAAATGGATTCCGGGTCGCATTGTAGACGTTCTAGGCTCTAGTAATTTTAAAGTGGAAGGTAAAGATGGAGAAATTATACATAGGCATATCGATCAGCTGCGTAAACGACAAAGTAACAGTAGACTATCTCTCGCTTCTACTACGCCCATTTTGGATCAACAGTCCACCAGAGATTCTCAAGAGGTTCATTGGCCGATAGGTAGTAGTAGTCCCGCCCGCAGGTCGGAGGGGTCGGCGGAGGCAACTAGCTCGTCCCCCATAGAGGTCAGATCAGGAGTAGATCAGTCTAAGCTAGAGGGGGCTATTCCGGAGTCACCGGAACGGCAGTTCTCTTTGCCCCTTGGTGCTACACCCCGAGCTTGCCCTGTTAGGAAATGTAGATTGAATAAACCTAGTTATAAGGAGTAGTGAAGTATTTGTTGTTTTTAGTTATAATGTCTGGTATCTTTAGGGGTAAGAAATAGTTTAAGTAAAGGTAATTTAAGTACTACTTATATTAAAATTAGATTAAGTATTATTGTTATGGTTGACTTAGGGTAAATATTGTATGTTATTATAGTCATAAGTATGAATTTAGTGTAGAGGAGTGTAATGTAGGTATATAGATTTAGGTAGCCGGCACGAGATTGTCCGTGCGGCGGCAGTCGGGAATTAAGCGTCTTAGCAAACGCACGGTGTATTATTTAAAACATTACAATGTAAACCTATTGTAACTCTTTCCGCGGGGTGCAATATATTTTAGGAGGTATTCTCTTGTCCAGAGTTATGTCGTCAGGTAAATATTTACTTATTCCATGTATGTTTGTTAGTTCGTTGCCGGATATTTCGTTTATTTTAAGGTGTAACGGCGTAAGGTCTGCTTATGCAATGGGTACAGTTATAGATAGTGTTCAGAAGCTTCTTACTATTTTAACTACAAATCCCCTCTGTAGACTAAGTAAGGCTTTTGTGACTGCCTTATAACATTGTTCATATTATTTATTGCAACCATAATGTTACAGTTAATGTGTTGAGAACATTTTAAGTTTTAACTTAAAACTATGAGACCATTATGGGCCCTGCAGGGTCAATTAAGTGAGAGGACGGCCATTATAATGAAACAATAGTGATAAATACACGATGTTATATTGCAACTGTAGGTATTTTTGAAATAAAATAGAATTGAAATATGTATTCGTTTAGTGTGTAGTAGGGCTTACAAATTAAAAAAGTTCTTTAGTTTATTTATAAACATAGTTTCTTTTTCTACATTTTTACCGATTCTGAGAGTTTGTTAAAAATTTTGTTAGATATGGGTAGAGTCAGTTTTTATTTATGGCGTAATTGGTATCTGGTATTGCTTTCTCCCCGTTTGATATAAAATTCTAGGTATTTTTTAAATGAATTTGCAGATTTCCAAAATGTATACACACGGTAAGGTGAGTATTTTATGTTTGACGAAGTATGTTTGATATAGGTCTATAGTTACTTTTATCCGCGAGATCACCTGTTTTATTATTTACAACCGTACGCATAATGTCAGCGGGCCGGTATCCATGTTCTAGGTAGAGCATGAATAATAAAAATATTACTCGAGGTAGTTGCGGGCCTATTCATCTTAACATGATTTTCACGATCTTGTCCTACTTCAAGCGAGATTTGAAATTTTTTTTAGCTTCACGCTGTGGTGGTGTATTGTTATAAATAATAAATAATTATTTATTCTTCGTAAATATATCTTTATAATATTATAAACGTAAATTTTTGTGAGGATATATTATGGACGTTTGTTACTATTCCATGCCAAAACTACTGAATCTATTTTAATGAAACTTTACAATTATATAGCCCATACACCAGAACAACACATAGGCTATATTTAATAAAGATACTGTGAGAATTGGTCAATAAAGTGTTGAGTAAGTCGGAAAAAAATCTAACGTCTGCGAGCTATTTTGGCGTGCGGTGCAATAACTGTAAGAGTCGCACAAATATAATGTACCTACTGGCTGTTCCCCGCGACTTCGCCCGCGTGGAACTATTTTGCGCGGAACCCTTAAATAAATAATTTAAAATTAAAAATTTTGTACAGCCGACTTCAATATTATTAAGAATAACTCAAATAATTCAAAAACTATTGATCTGACCTTGATCTAATTCATATGGGACCACACGAGAAGTATCAGCTTTTATATAAAAAAAAGAATCATTGAAATCGGTCCACCCAGTAAAAAGTTATGAGGTAACACACATAAAAAAAACATACGCGTCGAATTGAGTACTGTCTCCTTTTTGGAAGTTGGCAGATAAAAGAAGCTTAAATTACTCCTTATAACATCAGCTATCTGCAAGTGATAGTCCCAACCCAATCGGTTCCACTTACTATTTTAAAATTATTGTCGCCTTGCGGCGTAAGTATATAAATCTTACCAAGATTTATATACTTACTAATCTTGGTAAGATTTACATACTTACTCCGCTCGAGTCCAGTCTGGAAATGTTCTGATATTTTTAAAGATATTGATAATAATCTTAAAATAGCTATAGAAAAATTCAAAATTTAACTTAAAATACATCAACCCGGACTCAAGCTACTATACCTATGAAATTTGGTGGTTTTGGTGTGAGGAATATTTCTAGCGTTGCATTGCCTGCTTTCCTTGCTTCCGTGCATAGTCAGTGACTTATGTAAGATAATTTTAAATAATAAAGTAGACCTGTGCTTTGCAACAAAGGCAAGACAGACATGGCGAACGCTCTGTCCCAGCGATAATGTTCACTGTACATAAGTTAACCAACAAAAACAGTGGGATATTCCGTTGGTACAGAGCGTGCGGAAAGACCAAGATTAGACACGCCTTCTAACTGTTTCGAATAAGGAATCTTGTCACTGGTTACACGCTTTACCATTAAGTAATCTCGGCACATTACTTGATAGAGAAAACTTGCTCATTGCCATAGAAACCTATCAGTGCCCCTGTGGTAACAGCGTCGACAAGTTTGGGATCCACGGACTTTCATCAGAACATTGACATCAGGACGTCAAACACCTCAGTCCCCCCCGTGACCATCGGTGCTATAAACCAAAAAATTTTAATTAAATGCGATAAATTCCGTAAAAATTTGTTTCATTTAATTACAACATAACAAAACAAAACTAAACTGCCATTTACATTCCATTGCTTCCCACATGATAGATAAAGAAATTAAAAAATAAATTGAGTTAAACAATTGATATTTTTAAAAGTTATCGTGCTTATCTCTCCATGCGAACTTGATAAGTCTAAACTATAAGCCACTAAAACCACTTTTTTATGTGAAAATAACAATTAATCGAATTAAAAAAAAATTGTAAGTTCAATAATCATTTATTTTTCCTAAAATGTGCTTTTATATCATTTATATGTTCAATATGATTGTAAGATATGATTTCATGCGACAAAACGTTGGAATCTTGATTTTTACGCGCTAGTAGAACATATCCGCACGCTTTGCGCTTAAGGCATAAAATAACATCATTAACAACAGTAGTACCAGACTCCGTGCTACAACAGGTCCCATCCACAGAGATCGTGATACTGAGCTGAATCCCTTGGTTCTCATTTAACCGATCATGCGAGTAGATCTGCCTATGACTTTGTCTTGGCCTATGGTCTAACATAACTGGTTACTTCGCCTACGCGGATCCTAGATGTGGAGGATCATGTACTTTCCCTGTTGGATCTTCTGCTGACCTCTCATCCGGACGGATATCAGGTCTCCGTTGATGTCCCTTTGGGCTCTTCGGACCATTGTCTGATCCACACAAGCACGCACACATAGAAAAACACAAATAAACACGCACACATACAAGCACGCTCGCATGCATGCACGCACGCACGCACGCATCCATGCATACACGCACGCACGCACGCACTCACGCACGCACACGCTCATGCACACGCACACGCACGAACGCACACGGTCACGCACTCGCACACACACAAGCATTTGCACACGCACACGCACACGCATAAGCACACGCACATGCACACGCACACGCACAAGCACACGCACACGCACACGCCCACGCACACTCAAATGCACACACACACGCACACGCACACGCACACACACAAGTACACGCACAAGCACCCCCCCCACACACACACACATACTCACGACACGCTCTCTCTCTCTCTCACACACACATACACACACACAGAGAGAGAAAGAGAGAGAGAGAGAGACACACACACACACACAGTACAATATGTACGCATCTTAGATGCAACAGCATACGCATGCATATTTTTATTTTTTGATTTTCTGTAATTTGTAAGAAGTTTATTTATTTTGTTACCTTGTTATGATTTGTGTTAAGCTGATAAGGCTATTGTAATTGCAACTTTGTGGATATGGGAAGGAACTGAATCCCGACACACAGCTATTGCTAGTTCGGATGTGAGGGTTATTTTTACTGGAAAAGGGGCTTGCCATCTTAGTCCTCTCAGGTGATAATGCATCTGCATTTTGATTCGCAATCGAAGATAGATGTACATGTCTATGGGCCACAGCAACCATTTACAACCAGGTGGAATGTGTGCTCGTTTGTCACCCTATCCTATAAAAAGGCTTCAACTTTGTAGTGTCAACATGGTGTTATTCAATATATAAATTTATTATTATTGTGGGGTACCTATATAGTTTTATCATCTGATTGGGCTGTACAAATATGTAATTTTAAATGATACCTTATTATTACTATAATTTTGATACGTCGGCTATCTTTCGGATTAGGATGAAAGTGTGTAGTAGTACTTGTAAAGTAAGTAGTAAAGTGCTATATGATATATGGATTTTTAGTAACTGGCATCTTAGTAGCGTTCTACTATGATACGTTGGTGCGTGCTATTTTTAATAACGAACATATTACCAATTTCGTTGACAAAGTCGATAGGGATCATATGGGTGTATTGTAAAGGGGTGCCATCCGTATAAAAGTTATCAATGCAACTTACTGCTACTTGCGGTATTGTGTCTTATGATAGATCTGCGGGTGTGCTGCGCCTGATTCGACGCATCTTGTGGTTCTGGTCGATGGAAGTATGCGGGTAAAAGAAGCAAGTCGATTATTGGAAACGAACAAGTAAAATATTTGGACCTTAAGGACTCGGCTTAAGAAATGAACGTGGGACAAGACCTCTCCAATTCGCGTTTGTCTAAGCAATATTTCTCTACTTTTACAAAAAACCTCGTCGTCGTGGCTATATCCCGATAAAAATCTCCAAAATTGAAATAGGTTTTTGCCATACTTCTAACAAACAGTTGATTAATATTAGGGTTATAGGTTTGGATTCTCAATAAAATGTTTTCTTGATAATAAATCTTTTATTTAGTATTTATGCACATTCACGGTAAGAAGTTCTACAGTTCTACGAAGCAACAAC